TGATGATGATGATGATGATGACGATGATGATGATGATGATGATGATGGTGATGGTGGTGATGATGATGGTGTCCCGATGATGATGGTGATGTTGATGTTGACGATGTTGATGATGATGATGATGATGAAGGTGATGGTGGTGTTGGTGATGGTGTCCCGATGATGATGATGATGCTGATGATGATGATGTTGATAATGATGATGTTGCTGGTGATGATGTTGCTGATGATGATGGTGTGCCGATGATGATGGTGGTCCTGAGGATGCTGATTATGATGGTGATGATGTTGATGATGCTGCTGTTGATGATGATGGTGATGATGATGGTGTCCCGATGATGATGATGATGATGATGTTGATGGTGATGATGACGGTGATGGTGCCTCGATGATGATGAGGATGATGCTGTTGATGATGAGGATGCTGCTGAGGTGATGATGATGATTTTGATAACGCTTGCCCGATGATGGTGATGAGGATGCTGATGTTGCTGATGATGGTGTCCCGATGATGATGGTGATGATGATGAAGGCGATGATGATGGTGTCCCGATGATGATGGTGATAATGATGATGTTGCTGGTGATGGTGATGGTGTCCCGATGATGATGATGTTGATGATCTTGCTTATGATGGTGATGATGATGCTGATGATGGCGATGATGGTTGTGGTGCTCCGATGATGATGATGATGATGATGGATCATCATGATGATGGTGTCCCGGTGGTGATGTTGATGCTGATGGTGACGATGATGGTGTCCCGGTGATGATGACTTTGATGACGATGATGATGGTGATGATGGTGATGAGGCGATGAGGATGATGATGACGTTGATTGTGATATCGGTTGTGATATCGATAGTGATACCGATAGTGAGACCGAATGTGAGATCGATTGTGAGATCGATAGTGAGATCGATAGTGATATCGATTGTGAGATCCATAGTCGCATCGATTGTGATATCGATCGAATGAAACAGATCGAATGAGATCGATTGTGAGATCGATCGAGTGAGATCGATCGAGCGAGACCGATAGTGATATCGATAGCGATAGTGAGACCGATCGAGTGAGACGTTGGTTCCTCCCCCCCCCGAACCTCCTTATCACCCGAAGGGTGGTCGTATAGGTATGTTCGTTTTCTCGTTGTCTCGGCCCCCTCGTTTCTTCGTTTTCTCGGCTCCTGGGTCGTGGTCTCGTTTTCTCGAAGCAAGCGTTTTCTAGTGATCTCGGCCCCTGGGTCGTGGTTTCCTCGGGTCCTGGTTCGTTTTCTCCTGTTCTCGTTCTCTCGGCCCCTGGGTCGTGGGTCGTTTTCGCGTTTTCTCATGTCCTCGGCTCCTGGGTCGTGGTCTCGTTTTCTCGGGGCCTGGTTCGTGGTCTCGTTTCTTATTTTCTCGGCGCCTGGGTCGTGGTCCAGTTTTGCTCGGACGCTGGTTAGTTTTCTCGTTTTCTTGTTTTCTCCGCCCCTGGGTCGTGGTTTCGTTTTCTCGGACGCTGGTTTGTTTTCTCCTTGCCTCATATTCTCTGCCCCTTGTGCGTAAACTCGTTTTCTCGGGCCCTGATTCCTTTTCTCGTTTTCTCGTTTTCTCTGCCCCTGGGTCGTGGTCGTGTTTTCTCTAACCCTGGTTCGTTTTCGCGTTTTCTGTGCCCTTGGGTCGTGGTCTCGTTTGCTCGGACTTTGGTTTGTTTTCTCGTTTTCTCGTGTTCTCGGCCTCTGGATTGTGGTTATGTTTTCTCGGACCCTGGTTCGTTGTTTCGTTTTCTCGTTTTCTCTGCTTTTTTTGTGCTGTTTTCTCGGGCCCTGGTCCGTGATTTCGTTTTCTTGTTTTCTCGGCACCTGGGTCGTGGTGTCAGTTTTCCTCGGGCAGTTGTTAGTTTTCTCGCTTTCTCCTGTTCTCGGCCCCTGGGTCGTGGTCTCGTTTTCTCGGACCCTGGTTCGTTTTTTGTTTTCTCGGTCCCTGGATCGTGGTCCCGTTTTCTCGGACCCTGGTTCGGTTTCTCGTGTTCTCCGTCTCTCGGCCTCTGGATTGTGGCTATGTTTTCTCTGACCGTGGTTCGTTTTTTCGTTTTCTCGTTTTCTCGGACCCTGGGTCGTGGTCTCGTTTTCTCGAGCCCCGGTTCGTTTTCCCGTTTTCTCGCTGTCTCGGCCCCTGAGTCGTGGTCTCGGTTTCTCGGGCCCGGGTTCGTTTTCTCGTTTTCTCGGTCTCTGGTTTGAGCCTGTTTCTTTATTGCTTGGGGCATGACGGGCGTCGTGGCCCCCGCTCCCCCCCCCCCCCTATGACGTAACGCTCCCCCCCCCCAGTGCGCTCCGGGCACTGCCGCCGTGCGCATTGGGATCCGCGTAGGTGTCCGCGTAGGAATCCGCATAGGTGTCTGGTCCGCAGGCGTCGTCGTCGTCGTCGTCGTCGTCGTCGTCGTCGTCGTCGTCGTCGTCGTCGTCGTCGTCGTCGTCGCCCGTGGTTCGTCGCTCGTCGCTCATCGTCGTCGTGCGCGCGGACGCGGCTGGAGCCTGTTTTTAAGTCCGGGCCGATGACGGCAATCATCTGGGGGGGGAGGGGGTCGATGACGTCACGTTTCGCGCCAGCGGCGTCTGGGAATGCTTAGGAATGACGGAGGATGGGTAGCACGAACATGTAGGTGACGATATGCACCACAACGCGTGTGTACATCACAGTGCCCGCGTGCACCACAGCGCGTGTGTACACCACACCGCCGATGTACACCACAGCAGCCGCGCGCAACACAGCGTCAGTTTGTGCCACCGTGCCTGCGGGCACAGCAGCTCCTGTGTACACCACAGCGCCTCCGTACACCACATCAGCCGCGCGCAACACAGCACCAGTGTACACCACAATGCTTGCGTGCATTGCAGTGCCTGTGTACGCCACGGCGCGTGTGTGCCCCACATCAGCCGTGTGCACCACAGCACCATTGTTGTGTATAGAATTTCAGAAGAAATTCTTGTGACAAAATGGAGCGCGTGTGGATTCCAGTGAAAACAATAGAAAGCAAATCCTCATGGACGAAGGAGCGCCGCTGGAATCTACGAGTCCCCCCGAGTCCGCCCGCATCACCCTAACTTCCATTTGCGTCCAGGAGGCTCCAGCGAAACTGGCCGTCCGAGAACCAAGTGGACCGATTCAATCGACCATTCGGCGGTGCACGCTGAGATGCGCACGTGCGTTGTAACGCCAAGCCGCACGACAGGGGGTAAGAAGGAAGAAAAGGAGGAGGAAAAGGAGGAGGAAAAAGAGGAGGAGGAGGAGGAGGAGGAGGAGGGGGAGGGGGAGGAGGAGGAGGAGGGGGAGGAGGAGGAGGAAGAGGAGGAGGAGGGAGGAGGGAAAAACGTCGCATTCGATTATCAGAACTTTCCTGGCGCGGCGTTTAGTTGTCCGCAGCAGATCCTGACGTACATGCTCCTTCTACTTGTCCTATGCACGCAGGCACTTTGGTGTACACCGGCGCCGCGTTGCACGCGGATGCTGTGGTGTAGACAGGCGCTATGGCGTGCACAGGCGCTGCGGCGCACGCAAGCACAGCGGTGTACGCAGGCGTTGTGTTGCACATGGCGCTGCGGTGTATGTACACCAGCGCTGTAGTGTTCCCAAGTATTGTGGTATACGCGGGCGGTGCGTTGCACACGGCTGTTGCGGGGTACGCAGGCGCTGTGGTGCACGTGCGGCGTGGTGCACGCGAGCGTCGTAGTGCACACAGGCGCAATGGGCAGATCGCCATTTACATGCTGTTCGCGTCGTCGTCGTCGTCGCGCGTCGCTCGTCGCTCGTCGCGTCGTGCGCGCGGGCGCGGCTGTGGTGCCGGAGCCACACGGCGGGGGGGGCGTCACGTCATACCCCCCCCCCGCCCTCCCCCCCCCCCCATGACGCCCGTCATCGCCGAACATAAAGAAGCGCGCTC